TCAGCCTGATTCATCCATTTTATACTTACTTTTGTAGAAATGGAAAACATTTGTAAGCAACTTTTATCTACCATTGTCAAGACCGCATATTGTAAATGTTCTTCTCTTGACCACTGATTGCTAGGAAATTCAACGTAAAACATTGTCCGATGTTTGTTCACTGCACTAGTTCAGAGAATGACTTAAGGGTTTGTGCACATGACGACAGCCTTTTACTTTAGCTTTTTTTCTTTTTAGAACCATGCAAGTTCTGGTTACTGTTTTAAATGTCACCAAAATGACACTTTGCAACATTTGTCGCACCTGATGCCAGACTTCAACTAGTGTCAGATTTATTTAATCTGTCGCCATACAGGAGGGCAGCACTGAAGCAAGAGAGTGTAAATTCTGGATACTTCTGGCTGATGTCATTTACCAAATATAGCCATTGACATCACGCTCTCTTTCCCCAAATTTACTGAACTGTGAAAGTGACAATTAATTTGTCTTTCTCACCATAGTAGCTTGCTATGCAGTGTACTGTGCCTCAGCATGCTGCTTAAAAAAAAAAAAAAAAAAAAAAAAAAAAAGGGTACTACATGTCTCACCTTTTTTCAAGCACACACTATTGTGTCTGAATTTAAACTAAAAATTGCCTTCTCTGTATGTTTGGACTGCATTGGACAAGGCTACCTAGTGCAGCCTAATGCGTATGGTGAGAACAGAACAGGTCCTCAAACTGATGAAGAAAGACAGTAAAGCACTTTTTGAAGGAAAGGTCAGCAATGACAGCTTTCTTATTTCTGGAAGGTTAAATCCTGGTTCCAGCCCAAAAAAATAAATACAATTAGTTGGGAAAGGGTACAACCTCTGTCTAGTTTATATTGGTATCCTTGTCTCTTTTGGGGAGGTTTCCTTTCACTTTACCTCAGGATGGGACAAAAATAAACAGCGATTAAAGGCCAGAACATTTGAAAGTATTTTGTGCCTTCTCCTAGTGACAACTGCACATCCCATTTCTTGTGTGGGTGTCACAGGGATGGGAAAGGAAGAAAATCTTCCCTATGGGCTCACATACTAAGGCTCTGAAAGGATCCACCTATAAGCCTGGACCGACACCTGGCTAAACCTCTCAGTGATCCGCTGAGAGCCTGAGTCAGCTGCTCTCTTCCCTTCCACAGCCCAGCGCTCCAATGAGTGCTGGAGGGACAGAGCAGAAAGCCAGTGACTGACTGACTGTCACCAGCTCTCTGTTCACGGAACACTGAGAAGTGAGCGATCAGCGGTCTTTGATTGCTCAGTTCTCAGTCTTCGAGCAGGCGAGGGACAGATGCTGCATCCACCTAGGCGAGTATAATTTTTGTTTTATAGGTAACCAATACTTCTTTTAGGTGTTAGGTTTTGTTTCACTTTAATCATAACTGTAAAGCATAACCTATCATTTAATAGTTTCCCAAAACAATTACATTCAAGGCATTCCATCAATGATCACTTTAAAATGGTTGCTTGTGCTCTCAGCCAAGCTATCAAATGGCGGGTATCATAACCAACAACATGTGCAACGCCACGGCCACTGCAGATCAAAGAGGCTAAGAGGGCAGATTCCTTGGTTGTAAAGGATAGGAGGGTCTGGTTTCACTTTACGTGTTATTTTTATGGTTTGGTAACAGTGAGGTTATGTCTAACTTTATGTTAATAGTAAAGTTAATTTTCCAGGTGTGGTTAAAAGCTGAAGTTTAGGAAATCAGCTAGGTACTAATAAAAAAAGGTACCTCTTATGAGGTGTGCCCCACTGGTGGCTGCGACTTCCATCTTGAGAAGTGTTAGTTACATGCAACCTCTGACAGTGATGTCAGCACTGAAGATTCAGGAGGTGAAACCTGACATTCATGGCTGAAGCACAGTGATCACTAGGGGTTGTTCACTGTGCAGCTCCTCCATTCAGAAAAAATCTTTTACTCCTAAGAACACAATGGATTCTGTAATTAGACAAGGGAAGATTGATGCTAAAATGCCTCTTGTCTAATCACAGAAAGCCTTGTATTCTTTGAAAGAATACAAAATGTTCTTTGAACAGTGGAGCTGCTCAGCGAACAACCTGGTGTGATCACTGTGCTCGAGCCTCGACTGCAGGTTTCACTATCAGAACTTAAGCAGTGAGATCAACCTTTTCAAGAAATAGCAACAGCCATCACTGTGGCACAAAAAACTAAAATAATATGGTTGCATAAGTGTGCACACCCTTAAACTAATACTTTGTTGAAGCACCTTTTGATTTTATTCCAGCACTCAGTCTTTTTGGGTATGAGTCTATCAGCATGACACATCATGACTTGGCAATATTTGCCCACTCTTCCTTGCAAAAACACTCCAAATCTGTCAGATTGCGAGGGCATCTCCTGCGCACAGCCCTCTTCAGATCACCCAACAGATTTTCGATCAGATTCAGGTCTGGGCTCTGGCTGGGCTATTCCAAAAAACTTTAATCTTCTTCTGGTGAAGCCATTCCTTTGTTGATTTGGATGTATGCTTTGGGTCATTGTCATGCTGAAAGATGAAGTTCCCCTTCATGTTCAGCTTTCTAGCAGAAGCCTGAAGGTTTTGTGCCAATATTGACTGGTATTTGGAACTGTTCATAATTCCCTCTACCTTGACTAAGGCCCCAGTTCCAGAAAAACAGCCCCAAAAGCATGATGCTGCCACCACCATGCTTCACTGAGGGTATGGTGTTCTTTTGGTGATGTGCAGTGTTTTTGCGCCAAACGTATCATTTGGAATGACCAAAAATTTCAACCTTGGTTTCATCAGACCATAACACATTTTCCCACATGCTTTTGGGGGACTTCAGATATATTTTTGCAAAAGATTTAACTGAGCTTGGATGTTTTTCTTTGTAACAAAAAGGCTTCCGTCTTGCCACTCTACCCCATAGCTCAGATATATGAAGAATACGGGAGATTGTTGTCACATGTACCACACAGCCAGTACTTGCCAGATATTCCTGCAGCTCCTTTAATGTTGCTGTAGGCCTCTTGGAAGCCTCCCAGACCAGTTTTTTTTTTCTTCAATTTTGGAGGGACATCCAGTTCTTGGTAATGTCACTGTTGCGCCATATTTTCTCCACTTCATGACGGTCTTCACTGTGTTCCATGGTATATCTAATGCCTTGGAAATTCTTTTGCACCCTTCTCCTGACTGATACCTTTTAACAATGAGATCCCTCTGATGCTTTGGAAGCCCTCTGCAGACAATAGTTTTCGCTGTAGGATACGACTAAGTGTGCACACTTATGCAACCACATTATTTTAGTTTTTTTTTTTTTTTAGGTTTACTCCCCCCCACTCCAAAAAAAAAAGATTTCAGTTAATTTTTCAACTGAGTTATACAGTGTGTATTAGGTCACATTAAAGGATTAAAAGGTGGAAAAAGTCCTTAAATTATTTATCTTAGTCTTTTTTTTTTTTACATCAGAGAAACCAGACATTTTAACAGGGGTGTGTAGACTTTATTTTCCACTGCAGTATCCCCCCCCCAAATACTTACCCAAGTCCAGCACTGCTCTTTCCTCACTGGACATGGAGACAGCAGCGGGAGCCATTAGCTCTGCCAATCAAATCAAGTGAGAAGGGAGCAGCCCGAGCCGCTCTGTGTGTCTCTGGACACACCTCCAGACTCTGCAGCAAGCTCATAGTATCTGCCCACATAGCAAGCGGCTTGATGGTGGCAGACACAGAGGAGGAGGAGCACACATCGTGGGCAAGGGGACCCAGGAGAGGAGGTCTGGCCCGCTATGTGCAACACCATTAAATAACATTTTTTTATTTTAATTTAAAAAAAATTAAACTTTAGTAACACTTTAATTTAGAGAGTTTAGGTGTTAGGGTTCAGGTGAGGGTAAAATTATAGGAGAGGGTAAACCCATGGCTGGTGTAGGAGACACTTTTTTAAACCATATTTTGGTACTAAAATGCCTACACTGAGAACCAATTGGCACTTCGTTCTTTGCACAAACAGCCATACTGAAAAAAATTACATATCCGTGCAAGCATAGTTTATAAAAAAAAAAAAAAAAAAAAAAAAAAAAAAACCTTTACAAAAAAGGATGATGAAAATTAAGTTTTAAGTCTTTATTCCTCCCTATGACTGAACAAATACGTCCATGTGCACATACCCTTAGACAGACTTGAACCCCACAGTAATTAACCGCTTCACGCCTAAGGGTAAAACAAATCTTAAAGCCCAGGGGGGCGGGCTTCACAGTGACTGATCACTGTAATATCCAATCAGAGGCTTTCACAGTGATCATGTGACCCGGAATCAGGAGTTCCAGGTCCCGATCGTTAGCACAAAGACTGGGTTGTCAGTGAAAACCCCGAGTTTTGTTCCGAGAGTGCGCTGCACTCCCAGCACAATGATAGGTATGCAAGTTAACGACCTCATGGAAAAAAGCCCAGTCCAGTGGGGCTGCCAATTTGAGTACACTCGGTGCCAAGGGGTTAAAGATCCTTACAGGATGATTCAGGAAAAAACTGTATAAATTAAGCAAGACACTGAAGTTCAAAGAAGCAGCCAATCAGGTTTCACCCTTAATTTTATGTAAACATTAAATAAATCTATTGGTTGCCATGGCAAAAACTCCAGTTGCTCCAGTTTTCATGAATCTTCCTTACACATGGTGTTCTAAAACATATTATAGCTTATCTAAGCTCTTTTTGCTTAGTTAGTTTTCAAGAAGGCCTGAGAAATGGCATGCTACATGTAAAAGGTGAGAAAGTGTGAGAGCTGGCCTGAAATTTTTATTAGGTATACCTTTACTAGATGAAGTAAATGACAATAATAATGTTCATGATCTAAACAAGGAGCGATACGATCATTTATAAGGCTGACTTCTTGAAGGACACTTCTAACTCTCCCTAGCCTGAAAAAAAAAAAAAAAAAAAATGACAATATATATGCAAAGATCTGCTGCTCACTCAGCAACAAAGGAAATTCTGTATGACATATTTAACAGTGCTACTCACCCAGGTGAAGATGGAGAAGAATGAAAAAGCAATGGCTGCACGTGCTGCATCTGCACCTTCATTCATTGGATTGTGTTCTTGTTTCGACACCTGCCACTGGTTGGCTAAAAAGCAGAAACCAACAAACCAGAAGAAGGACCACAAACCTACAGCAAGGATAACACAGTTTGGGTTAAAAACTGCATTATGACTTATTTGGCATGTAGACTTTTCTTTCACCATGTAAAATACATAATCTAAGCGATTACCCATGGTAACACTGCACACTAGAAGAGATGGCAGAAGAGCATCTAATAAACCCAAAAGCCAAGATGTGTTTTTTTTTTTTTTTTTGTTTAAATAGAAGAGGAAGAGTTACATTTTCTGTGAGGTTTTACTTAAGTCTGTGATCCACTGATCCACTGGGAGATTTTTCCCACACTCTGTTCCTGTGACATTCATACAAGAAATGGGGGTTGTGAGTGACACCAGTCCAGGAAAGCACAGACAGCAATAAAAGAATGTCAAGTTCTAATGCCTCCCCACCCCACTAATTATGTTTTTGATATGTCTGAGTCCCGGTTGGAGAGATTTCCGATCACATCCTGGACAGAAGGAAGGCTAAATCTCCCCAATAAGGAGTACTATATATCCCTTTAAACCCTTCGCCTTTCACATGGGTTTGTACAAATACAATAGCACCAATGTATTTCATTTGGAAATATAAGCCAACATGTATGCACAACAAAAAGGTCAACCTCCAATACACATCAAACAGACAAAACAGAGAATTATCATTGCATTTACTTTAGTATATTGCAATACTGACTTGCTCTGCAGTTGACAGTCTGCATTAAACAGAATTATTTTAAAGAAATTCAGCACAAGATATGGTACTTGTAATGGCGGTTGCTTGTCTTATTTAAATTTTCCATCCTCTACACCCTCAAACCCCTGCAGCAGTTATTTTCCAGAGCTGCAGGAGTTAATAAGGCAACTGGACCAGTCATGGGCACAAATGAAGCTTGCAGTCTTTGCCTGCCCTTTCCACTCCCTGTACTACAGTTTACATCAAGCAGAATGCAAGGGGACCTTGCATTCATCTGCCCATCCTCCATTCATTGACCACTTTTCATTGATGGAAGTTATAATACAGCTTCTATGAATGGAGGAGGGGAGCGGAAAGGATGGGCATAGTTCACACTCTCTACAAGTCTCTATGGCAGAACCAGTGGCTGTATTACCCAGGAAACACCAGAAGATCACCATTGTGAGGTTACTGGGGGGAGGGATCATATTTCAACAAAACAAGCAGCCACCAGCACAGGGGACACACTGAATGTATGTACTGTTCCTTGTGCGGATAAATTTACAAAAAACCTTAGGCTTTAATAAGAAGCAATCTGTACATATAAACATGTACTTCCATCTGTGTTCAACAGCCTTAAAGTGTATGTATAGGCCATTTTTTCAGGTTAAAATTAGGCAGGGAAGGGTTAAAAACCACTCTGTTTTTTATGCTGTCCATTTACTTGCTGCCCCAAGGATGCAGCTGGAAGTGAGAAGTAATTTCCCAAAAGTGAGGTTACTCCCCCTTTAAAACAGGTGTTCCCGTTGAAAGATTCACCTTACCTCTTGCTTGGGTGACAACTTTAAAGTGGAAGTAAAATCATAATTACAAAAAAAAAAAAAAAAAAAAATGCTGCCAGGCAGGCTGTTAACAGAAGAGACCCTAGAGGCCTCTGTCATATATGTCCCCTCTGCCTGTCAGCGGGTAAATGTGATCTGAACCACATTTAAGGCCGTCTGTGTGTTGCTGTGATGTAACCCCCGCATGGAAGTGATGTCACTGCGGCCTGGCCATGCCGGCAGCTGAAGATACGAAACCCAAAGGAAAACCAAGGTGGACACTGAAACCACTGGCGACCAGGGGGAGCTGTGACAGTGCAGCGCTGGAGGGCTCGGTTTGCAGGCAACTCTGTCATAATATGTAGTGCATACTAGTACATGCCAACTTAAATCTGCAGGGGGCCCTAATTTATTTTATTTTGCTCAGAAGACTTCACTACCACTTTAAAATTTTGTATTTTACAGTTGTCACCAGGACAAAAACCTGACAAAAGGCTCCATCCCTTTCCTACTCCAGCTAAAAAAGTTTTACAAATTTAATATACTTTAAAAACAAAATATGTGCAGCTGACACCCAAATACAAAAAAAAAAAAAAAAAAAAAAAAAAACACGTTATAAGAAAAAGGGATTTTCTGTATTTTCTGCTTACCAGACACAGCAATATCAGATATCACAGTTTTCTTTCGGTCTTTGACACTGCTTATTTGTGGAAAGTGAATGTCAACTGCCAGATACAGAATGCAGGTAAGGAACGCCAGCACCCCTACGGTCACTCCATAAGTGCAGGCACTTCGGTTTCGGTTGAAAATGCAATGCTCTTCCTCTTCAGTTGAAAGGTTAATATATCCCTCATTAACTATGCAACCAAAGACCACTATGGAGAAAACCTGCAACACACAAAAGAAAATGTTGAAATACATAACCAGTTACATAAAGTATTCTCTACATAGCATTCAATAAATATTTCTAGCTTCATAAGAAATTGAAAATCTCAGTCTAAGCCAGGTAAAGATTTTGAAAGTTTGGCCACTTACAAAGAAATGAAGGGTCTATAATTCTTATTATAGGTGTATTTTAAATGATAGATGGCGGCATATTGTGTTACCAATGGTTTGTTTGGTGACTGTGTCCCAACTGCCTTGAGATCATTGACAAGCTCCTCCTGTGTAGTTCTGAGCTGATCCCTCACTTTTCTCATGATCATCCTTACCCCATGAGGTGAAATCTTGCATGGAGCTCCAGACCGAGGGCAATTGATGGTTATTTTGTATTTCTTCCATTTGCTAATAATGGCTCCAACAATTGTCTCCTCATCAAGCTTCTTGCTGAGGGTCTTGTAGTGCATTCCAGGTTCCAGATTGCAGGTCTACAATCTTGTCCCTGACGTCCTTTGACAGCTCTTTGGTCTTGCCCATGATGTTGACTCTGTAGACTAGTGTCTTTTATACACAAAACGAGTTATCGTTCGGAGCACCTTCTTAAAATTGACAGGACTATACTGTGTGCCACGAGCACATTTAAAATGCACCTATGATAAAAATGATAGACCCTTCATTTCTTACCAAGTGGGCAAATTTACAAAATCTGCAGGGGATCAAATATTTATTTTCCCCCACTGTATATGCTAGGTGCATTAAAAAAAAAAAAAAAAAAAAAAAAAAAAAGAAGGGGATGCGCAAAGTCTTACAGTTTTTCTTCCTAAAGCAGCTGTTGTCTCAGTACGAATGCCTATCCCTTGCCAGCATACGGATGAGGAGCCGTATTCCGTGCCTGGAAGCAGTGGTTACTTCGCAGAGGTCCAGCACACTCCCGATTTAGTCAGACCTATATCTCTTCAATCAGCAAACTCACGCTTCCTGTTGACTGGAAAGCCATGTCTCTGACTCAGCAGGGGGCATGTTGAATCTCAGCAGAGAGATCACAGATGCTACACAGAGAGCAAAGGGACCCTCTCTGCAGCATGCTGGTAGGGAAAAAGCTTTTCTCAGTTGCTTTGGAAAGAAAAACTATTAGACCGTGAACACTGTTTTAATGTACCTAGAATGTATTTAGTGAACGATTTTAAACAAATTTCAATTGGGCTTTAAAACTCACCATTTTATATATTTCAAGAGACAGATTAGAGGGCCAAAAGAATATTGCCCTCTGAATAACAGTAACTACCACAGGCCAACAAATACAAGCAATGCCCCTGCTTGAGCATCAGGCCACAAAAGGAGTTCACTAGAAACAATGGGTATGGGGAAACTAGAAAATAGTACAAAAGATTTATAAAATTGACAGCTTCCTCCTCTCTACAGAAATAGAATAACAGGCATTACCACACATTTGCTACATGAATACACTGGCAGCATGATGGAGAAGACAGTGGAGGTGGTGGTTGGTATGGGTTTTGGCTTTCAGGCGCACATGTCTCACCACCCATCTGTAATTTAAATCAAAATGCAAAAGACTGGGGGTAAGGGGCTTCCACGCTGATCTCATTCCAGGGGTCTTTGAAAGCAATCAGAAGACTGTAGAACTGCTGGATCACTTCCCTCTGCCAGTGTGTGAAGTTTACACTCAGCAGGAAGTGTGTAAAACCTCCCTTTGCTGCCAATGTGTGTTAAAAGAGTAAGAGGTAAGCGGACAGTGGAAAAGATTGGCTAGAATTGAAATATGACTCTTGGTGGTATTTAAGGCCAAAGGCTGATCCAAAACAGACTGCAGCAGAGACTGGATACATCTTACGGAGTACTTTCTATAAATTCCTAGTCTTGTACCATGCAAAATAGGCCATCCAGGTGTGATGATAAAAACTTTGTTGGAAGTTCACATCCTAGCTTTTAGGAGTGTAGGAATTACTGAATCCAATGGAAGCCTGTTTCTCAGTACCTGTGTTTTAACTGTTATGCCATTAAAGCTAGTAACAGTAGGATGATGTACCGACCCCAGGATAGAAAAGTGCCACTTCCTACTGGGCCAGTGTAGCACAGTAGGAAAACTCTCTCTCTTCATCCTGTAAAGCAGATGAAGAAGAAGCTTTAAACGGGGATAGACAAACTTGAACTGATCCCACGTTGTGTATCTTAAAGAATCCAGGTTCACAATTTGGCATTGATCACCTGCACAGAGGTCTTTAAAGCACCTCTGGGTGAAGAGACTATTCCCCTGGGCACAGTTGTATATGAAAAGACAAAAAAGGGCACAAGGACCTAGTGCATTACCTTTAAAATTGAGATATATTGAGAAAAAGTAAAACGCTCACAAGAGAAAAAAATCAAATCAAATGGAAAGCATATCACAAGAGATGCAGTGTGGTCCAAGACACCTGAAATTAGTCTGGGGACTGTAGACCTCTGGATAACAGATGTCTGACACATTTCGAGGTTGTACCTCTTCCTCTTTGGATTTCCCTGTCTGTTGCGGGCAGCAAGGCTTGCATTCCTTTCATACACATGTGGGGATATTGACATTGTGGAGTCCCCTGTCCAGCATAGGAGCTCAGGCATTCGGTTGTTTTTTTTTCTCCCTGGGCACAGTTGCCTACAAGTGAGAAAGACAGTCTGCAAATTTGTCCACATCTGACATGTGGACAGCGGACAGGGACGCTACAGAGAGTTTCAAGCATACTAGACTGAAGCTTGCTCCTCTTACAGCTGCGTGACTTTTTGAGCCCCTTGATGGTTGATGTAAGTCATGCATTGTCCAACTGAAAGCTGGTTGGGTGCCCTCATAGTCCAGAGGCTCAGCATGGCAGGGACAATCAAATTACCAACTGCAGCGCTGCTCTGGAAATTATGAGGCTAGGGCAAGTCAATTTGTTGAATTTCAAAGGTCTGGCGTGAAATTGGGTGCATGGTACTGGCCTAAAGAAAGCTACCAGCAAGCCTACCACCTTCATGCAAAAAGGGAATGGTGGAGTGTCTGTTGGAATGTGGGAGTGGAGGGCCAGAAACTTGTCTCAAGGGGAAAAAAATCCTGTCCAAAATCAGACCCAAACAAACACTCTTAACAGTAGGCTAGTTCCAGCATTGACTTCCGGAGATTTAGAATGAATCTGAATCTCTTCAGGGTCTGCATTATCCAATGGACACTGGCTGACAAGGCTTGATCCTTGAGGAGGTTGTCAAGGTTTCCCATGATGGGGATACCTTGAGAGCACAGCACAGCTAGGACAGAGGATCAAAATGCTGTGAAGAGATGAAGTGCCGTGGACAGGCCCAATGGAAGGGCAACAAACTGGTAACGTCCACAGAACAACACAGGTAAAGTGAATGGAGGGGGGGCCCATGTGGATGAGCAAGTAGGCATACTTTATGTCCACAGGGCCTGAAGGTCCCCAGGCTGAAGGGAAGCAATGACTGATCTGGCAGATTCCATACAGAATATCTGAATCTTAAAAGGAACCTTTTGCAAATCTTTACTGTCCCCAAGGCAAAGGGTAGCATCTTCCCTATTCTGGATGTAAACAGGTTGGATTAGAACCCCTGAAACCTCTTTCTTTGATACTAGGGCAATTACCTACTGTGAGAGTAGCCTCTTTCAACACTTCCATAAACCTAAGGACACTAGTAAATGAATGAGGCTTGCTGGGAGTGGGAGAGGTTATGCTAAAGAAGACATTACAGCTTTGTTTACCAATGTCCAAGTACATGAAAGTAGCTTCATAACACATGGTCTAAAGACTAAGATCCTGTGTCCTGTAATGTACGAATAAGAAATGCACGTGTGTATAATAGGATACAACATGCAGAATTCCTAGATTGTAAGCTCGAAAGAGCCTCAAACCCCTCGTGTATTGTATTGTTACCGTTTTGTCTCATGTTCTGTCCCCCTCGCTATTGTACAGCGCTGAGCAAACCCTTTGGCGCTATATAAATACTGTATAATAATAATAATTCCACTAGCAGTGCTAAAAGTCTGCCTACTCTGAAGCACATGTAGGCTGCACAGGTCTCACACCCCAAGCGCAGGTATCAGATAACGCATTAAGAAAAAAAAAAAAAAACCCAGGCATAGAATTTCTTCAAACAAGAGTGTAAAATATTAATTCACCTGTCTCTACTTTAAATACAGGATAGCTGTCTTCCCAGCATCTTTAACAGTAAACACAGTGTGTTTCATATATCAAGTGATATTCAAAAAGAAATCTGTATTAAGAAAATGTATACCACACGGATTTTAAAAAGGGAAAAAATAATGTATTTTCAGAGAATACATGTATAATTGTTGCAACGTCTTCCTTAAAGTGGTTCTAAAGGCTTTTTTTTTTTTTTTTTTTTTTTTTTTTTAGGGACAAAAACATGTCTATACTTACCTACTGTGGGCAGTGATTTGGCACAGAGCAGCCCAGATCCTCCTCTCCTCAGGTCATCAAAAAAAAAAACACATTGACAGTAGGTTACATGGTTTCCAATGGCATAGTTCACACCAGTGCAGTCAGTTCCAAAAAAAAAAAAAAAAAAAAAAAAAAAAAAAAGTAGAACATGTTGCATTTTTTCTGCACGGAACTGCACTTGAACACAGTAAAATTAGCATCAAAAATGCACTGGAACGCACCTAAAAAAAATGCACCAAAATTGCACTGGAACGCACATGTCCTTATTTAAGTTGAACTAAAACTAAAGGGGAAAAAGGGAACCGGAACGCATCAAAAACCCACATACAGAAATGCATCTATACTGCGTGTCTGTGGTGTGAACCAACTTTTCCACATAAGAAAAAAAAAAAAAAAAAGTAAATATACATTTATAAAACACATTTTACCCTTTAACAGTAGCCATCTCATCCCTATGGATAAGATAGAAGCTCTCTCAGGGCAACGACAGATGGTTGGCCTTATTAAAAGAATTCCAAAGCATCTAGTGTTCGGTTTAGTTTGTCAACGTTATACCAGGTAGAATATCTAAAACAGGGCCACAATGTCTTTGATTTGCAG